TTGAAGTTAATAGACAACTGTTTTTATTCACATCCATCAACAAATAATGAATGCTTTTTATCATGAGTACAGTTTTGTAATCTATGGAATTTATGATATCCAAATGCAAAATTTAAATATCCACACTTGACTATTAAAGTGATTAGGAACCTCACGCAGTGAATGTTCCTTGTGTAAAACACGCCCCTCCCTCTTTACAGTAAGAAGTTACAGCGTAATGTCTTCCTCTTCACTTTGCCGCCCGCATGAGTGAATGACCTCGCTCACGCGCTTATGTTCGTAGCTATCGGTGCTAACAGCGCGAATGTACTGAGCTCATAAGCGACTAACATTGGCACTATGAATGTAAATGTTTAACTACTGTTTACAATAATTCTCTTGTAAAGAAGAATACATTCAACGGGAGTGTTTGCATATTTACCAGGGTTTTTGAGATTAAGAGATTAGAATCATTACAATTTTAAATTTGTATTAGTTATCAGGCGTTTTCAATAGTTCTTTTAACTATCGAGACAAGCTTGTGAACAAGCCTCTACATTAGCGAGTTTTTGAACAGAGCCAAGCAAGATATCGATTACAAAAAGCACTATATTTAGAAGACGTGCACACGTGCGAACTATAACGTTATGTCAGAAAAATAACCGAGTAAGATATTTTTATTTTTTTATTTTTTAGAGTATTCGATAATGTTTATGATAATTGGAGTAAAAGGTTCGTAGAACTGTAACATCAATCTGTGCTGGTATCGGCCAATTATTGAAAAAAAAAATGGGAAACGAAAAATCCTAGACAAACCATCAGGATATGTACATATAAGAAATTTTTTTAGCATTACCAAATTCTACCGGTACAATTCGTAGCAACATTCATTAACATGTTTTAGAAAGAAAAGATGAAGAACCAACTACAATCTGCACTTGAATCCAGATGTATCAGAATAAATTTTACAAACTTCTCGAGCCTGTAGGGTGGTCAAAAGCGATGTTTGCCAGTGATATGTGGTGAAATCTCATCATGCACTGGTATTTGGCAGGTGCACGAAATAGCTGATGCCCAAGATTTGTATCTGACATACACCAACGCGGGCTAAGTAGCATACAAATCAGAGGCGAATTTCACATGTAGTGTTATGAGACTTCACTCCAAATATTTGCTGGCAAAATGCGATCCCCTATCATTCCGTAGCAACTTGTAACATTTCTTCTAAGACACTAGTACATTCACGTAGTAGTTTACGGTTTTCACTATCTAGCAGTTCCAGTCAGAGCAGAAATTCTCGTTGAGATTTCGACGAAAACAATACGACGAAGAACTATCTAACGAGTCCAAGGTGTCCCTGAAGTGGTTTGCAGAAAGGGGCGACTAGGAAGCAGACCGTGGGAGGCGCCCGGGGGCGCGTGTGAATTTTTATGGGGCCTGGCAGGCGGCGCTGTCATCGACCGGGCCGGGCCGGGTGGGGCCGCGGCGCGCCGGGCGGGGCCCATGACCGCGTGGCCTCTTCGCCAGACGATGTTAAAACCTCCGGCGCGGCGTGCGCACCCGCCGCTCTTCGGGGCCTTGTTCACAAAAGGCATTTACACACTCCACGAGAGCTCGGTGCTCTTCTAACACGTCTTCGTTAGGAGCGGAATTGCTTCGTTCATTACGGTACTGTACCGCTATTCTTGTTTCAGGACATCTTTCACAGTGCTTCTTGTTCTTTGGAATGTACTACATATTTAATACAATTAAATAGGAAACATTTTTTGACACTTTCAATATTTGCTGAAAGTTTTGCGACAAAAATTGTGTAATTACAGATTGTACAATAAATTATTACAGATTGTCAATTTTAAAGTTTCATTTGTCAGCAAAATTTGTCATTCCAAGAAGCATGTGCAATACTCGTACGAGCTATAGCTCACAAAACCACATACTAAAAAACAGTTTATAAGCCTTCAAACACAGGAATGACACAGGTGCAAAACTAAGGTAAACATTAAGTAACAAGGAAACTAAGATATCAGCGTATTACGTAGAGCCAAAGAAAGCACTCAAATTGCGGAGGATAATTTAATTTCTAGGTTCCGAATTCACATAGGAGAGACCGGCCCTTATTTGACGCAGACAACTGTAATTAAGGAGATGTCTCCGATATGTTCCTTTATAAAGAATAATAATTATACAAAATCGAGCCCAATTCCCCCTATACACAATCATTTTAAAAAAATCGTTCATCAATTAGACGGCTTCATACCTAAATTGACTTAGAAATTGCAGTAAGGCCGTAAGAAACCGTGACCGTAAGAAATTGACTTAGTATGAAGCCGGTTTCATACTTAAATTGAATAAGAGTACCTTGAAATACGCTGCTGCTCCTGCTTTATACGCTCTATATGCTGAAATACGTTGCTGATTAACGAATGCATTATTTGATACAATTTCTAGTGAATATAAATCAAACTGCACTCTCAAATACAATACACTACTACCGCTAATGTTTTGTAGTAATACCTGTCATAAAATAAAACAAATATACAATTTAATGTCGATTTTAAAGTATAAACTAGATCACGATATAGGAAAGAATGTCGATCACAGCTGAAATTTTGTAGCTTGGGAGGTTCTATATTTGCATTCTATCGACGGAGCGTGAATAGTAAGTGGTGACATCAGACGTGATCAGACCGCTCCCATTCCACGTCTAGGTATCTGGGTGAAAAACTTGGTTACTCCCCGTGGACTTTGCTATGAACAAAGCATGTTTGAGGCACATTTCTCTTTGGGGTTCTCCCGTTTTCCCTGTCATCACACCGTAATCACAACTAGCATAACATAGACGCGCGGAGCCCAAAACAAGAGAGAGGCACCAGATTTCTGTCCCCCTTTGGGCAATCTTTTCCATTACACATTTTACAAATGTAAAATGTAAACAAATTATTATTTACTTTGCTGGCAAATAAATAAAACAGAATTCAAGGAGAATGAAATAACTTTAATAATACAATAAAGAAAATTAGTTTTATATTTAACCATTTATAGAGGATTACCAGATGGTTTGGAAAACTCCAAATTGTTGGATCAAACACGTGGAAATAAAAAAAAAACGTATTTACGGAAATATAATGTTTTATTGACCAGGGATATGGGAAATTTTCAGGGGGCGGGGAACGACCCCCTTGAACTTTCCTGTGCGCACGCCCATGTCGTATTAACAACATCTCGTCTGACACCCCCCCCATCACTCTCGAATTTATTTCGCGGTTTAAGCCATTTAGCGCTATCTAGTAACGGACCGGAGTACCTCGGCTGTTGAACACGCGCCTATGTTGATATTAGTACAAACAAGTCAGGGGATAAATAATACCAATAAAATGACATTTCAATTAGAGACCAATTCAGTTGCCTAGAGGACTATTCTAGAGATATCCCATGGTTCGTTACCTGTGGAATTGACTTTTAGGCTTACAGCAAAGCGTCATATATCAAGGTTACGAAACGTGCGCAGTCCAATCTTTTATCCCGTTACCTCCCTTCTATCTCTAAGAACATGTGTTAGGTCATCACCAATTTCCACGAGATGCTTCCATGTTGAGTCTCTGGCAATAGACCGCGGCACCTATGTACAGATGGATGAGTTATTTCTGACGTTTTCCATTAATTTTACCAAATGTTCATTTCCATTTTTTCTCTAACTAGTATTTCGTCCTTAGAGCAGGTTCATTTCGATTTAGGAACAGACAATCCTGCTTCCCGCCGTATTTGTAATCATTTCTCCTTACACCGTTTCTTAAACCAATTGACTAAAATCAGGTAATTAGTCGCTTGCAGCATCAAAAATCCTTCTGAACAAAATATACAAATATTTTTCCAAACACTAGTACCATGCTACGCACGACGCACACAGTGCACAACACACAACGCACAGTGCTCGAAGAACAAATTTTGTGTCCCTGTCAAATGCCGGTTCATTAGGTTGTCTACTAATCAGAGCCAGATGTTACATGCGTAAGTTCGTTATGTGAAATTTCTCAGCTCATATTCCTGACTTGAAGGACTTGGTCTGGCGGAGAGGAAAAAGTGCGTTGCCCTCGTCGGGCGCGCGGGCGCAGTACTCACAGGAATATGAGGACGGCGGGCAGCGTGAGCGCGCCGCCCAGCAGGAAGAAGGCGCCGGGCAGCGAGTGGATGGTGGAGGTGTAGACGGCGCTGTACATGGGGCCGTACACCAGCGGCATCAGCGCCTCGCACACGCCGAACAGCGAGTTCACCTTGCCTGCGCACGGAAAGGGTTCGCTACGTCACCATTGGTGGGGGGAGCTAGCGCACTCCAGAAATACTTCTCGTTTAAGTTTTTTTGTTGACATGTTTGTCAATTTGATTTGTTTTCTATGACCTCTGTAAAGGAAATGTTTATTATATTCTGAATCATCTATATTTGATCATGAGCTTTTATTATGTCAAACCGCGCCACCAAAAATGTCATTTTTAACACCCAATGAGCGAACCGCTGTTTATAGTGCGTGATTTCCGTGTGCGAAACAGCTTCTTTTCTTCAAGACTGCGAAAAATCGCAAAGCGTATGCAACACATCTGTAACAATTCGCAATTTTCTTTCGTCCTAACGACGTCTTTGTTTATTATTTACAAGCAATAGTTTTACAACTGGAATCCATTTTCTTTTGTACAAGGAGATTATTTCCAGTTATTTGATATTTAACTTATATTTATTTTCTTGATACGTTGCGTTTCACGCACTGCGTTTAAAAAAATAATATTCGCCACGCAGACGAGAGGTGATTCCCGCACTCGTCTCTTTATCGTCCTCACTACCCTCAGCCGACAAACTCGACTACTGCGTGAATCACCTGTTTCGCGTTCTTGTTACGTAAATTACTATTTTATCAATGTATAGCCACCAAAGAATGCGCTTTCCAATTTACCTGCAATTCCCGATTTATTCTACTTTCCCCTGTAATATGAAATGATGTAATGATACCCATTACAACGATTTTCCTACAACACACTCTGTTCGACTAATGAGTATCAGAAGTTGAACCCAGTTATCATTTCTGCCTTTTTGTACTTTTGGCGCCGCGTATGTCTTTATTTTCCGGTATATTTTTGCATTTTTTTCTGTCGGTATTGTTTACGGTCACCTGCAGGGAGGTGATGCCAGTAGAACGAAATATTTACAAGAACTATAATCAATTATAACAAGCACATCACACCTCTCGGTATACTACTCTGAGAATTGTTTCACACATGTTCTATTACGAAGATGTGTCATAATGACTAACATTGTGCAAAGATATGTAGCAATCTAATAAGATAATTATTCAATGGGAGCAAAAAATAGTGAGTAATGTAACAAGTGCGCGAATCACCTCGTGCTCGTGTTGGGTGCACTATTTTTTAACCCGCCATGTGTAAATTATGTTTGGCACACGCTCCGTGATACTCTTTGTAATGTTTCACACATTATTAGTTAGAATGAAAATAAGAGCTTGCTTCGCTCACGGAAAATAAGCACGAGAAAACGTGTTATAGCACGGCCTGTTAAAAATATATATATTTTAGGTAGTTGATCCTCGATGGCTCTTAGATTCAAATTCTTTGATGTGTCCATATTTGACTCCCTTCATCTATCTTCCATACGAATATTTAACATTTGGCAATTCGAACTTCGTTGTGTGAAAATAGTCTACAAATTAAAAATATTATTTCAATTTCGAAATATTGAGGTTATATTATAAGATATTCTTGGCAGAGAACAATACTTGCTTCTAACAATGTCTAGATATACTTATACAGTGTCTACAACGCTTCAAGAAAATAAATAAAAATGTTATAAAATGTATTGTTATGATATATTTATATCATTATACACAATATTAGTATTTATAATGTATCATGAATACATTTTGATTAGTTATATATTATGATATTACCTTTGATATATTACGTTGAAATTTCAATCGTTGTGCATATTAACTGTTTCATAATTCGTCAGATTAACACTTAAAAACTTCGTGGATCTACTCTGTGCATGAATATTTAAAGAATTTCTTATTGTGCATTGCTCAATATTTTTTCTTGAATTGGATATTATTTTTAAAAAGTTTTTGATTTGTAGCATTAACATCTTGTTTTTAAATATAGAGCACATAGTTCACCATTTTTTACTGCAAAAAGTAACCAGGCTTACCAAGTTCATCTGCTGGAACCAGCTTGGAGATTATAGACCTCATGGCGATGAACGATGTTCCGTTCAGAATTTCCACGATGGGCGCTGCAGCAAAGAGCAAGTAAAATTACAACAGTGTTTATGGGAATAATTGATTATGTATTTGCGAAAAACGACCTAGGATATCATTGGCAGTGTCCTCTCTTCCCGTGGTGCGATCCCAGGTTTAATACCCGAGCAATAAGTGTTGTAGCTTTCCTTTAAAATTGTCTCAGTTTTTGTAGATGTGCGTTGAAGAAAAGTTCAAGCATGGTGATTTTACTAGTAACGGCGAAGGGAAAACCTTATGTTCGCCACATGTCCCTCTTAGCCTCCAAGTGTGGGAATTAAACTAGTTAGTTAGCTAGTTAGCTAGTCGGCAAAGGCGGACTATCGATCCAAAACGCCAAACACGTACAATTGGAGTAATAACGGATTATATGAAGCATCAAGTATTCTTAATCATCCATTTTTCAAATAATGTATTAATATTGTAAGTGAATTATATTAGTTGATAATATAATACAAATATATTACCTACACATATTTGAAAAATGCTTAACATATGTCTTTGGGAAGATTTATTAAAATTACAAGTTATAAAGAACTAGTGTAACAGGGAAAGCTGATTACCTAATACTAATTACACATTAAAATACTAATAAAACGATTGTTTACTTTCTTTTAGAAGGTGATAAGTCCCAGATTGGAAATTGGACGCGCAGTTTTCTTGAGCCCCCATTTTGCTGGATGCGACAGAAGTGGGGGACGGCAGAAATATCTCGTACTAGTAATACTATCTCGTTTTTCGATGAACAATGGATTCTATTACACAGGACAGAACATTTCTTATTACCAGACTTTGTCAACAATAGCTCATTGCTTTTATTCTTAATTCCACTAATATTGGTAACGGATGTGTTCAACTAAAATTGGTAAGGGGTGTAGATATTCTGGGGCTCTGGAAAACTTGCGTTACTTTAACTGCTTACTCACAGATCTATCCAACTCTTGAGAGAATTTATGGGAGATTCAAAAAATTAAAAGCGATATGGTTCTTCTACAATTTATGCTCATTAGCGGAATTATATATATATATATAAATATATTACTAATAAAGTACGGAAGTGCAATGACTGTTCTTACCCAAATAAATCATCCAATCTGTGGTGGCGAAAGCATACACGAAACAAGACAGAATCTTGCTCATGCAGGACATGACTCCAATAAGAGCGTCGTCGATTTTGAGCATGTGACTGAACACGCCCACTGACACCATGGTGCCTGCAAGAAACAAGGTCATTCAGTAATGACATACGCTGACATAATATCGTTTCAGTCTTTATGCATTTATCCTACGTTCACGCCTAACCTCTGGAGCTGGTGAGCGATGGAATTTACATAATGTTAAAAAGCATCACGCTTCAACGTTGCGTAACGCTGTTGCAGCTTGTGCATGTTGTAAGCGCGGATGTAACGAGACTGAATCTACAACGCCACACTACTTATTTATCTTGCGGATATAATACATTATTTAATCCCAATTCACTTACCAAGCAGGTTAGTGATCATACTATAGGTGGAAAAAATGCTGAAATCCACCTCGTTCCAGTTGAAACGATACCGCGTGAAGAGGTACATAACTGCCATTTCACCTGCGACATGAAAATTCAATGTTAAACAAATATGATTATGTAAAAGATTGTAAGCATGGCAAATAGCAAGAATAAGAAATGAAAATTATGCAGAATAAAAGCCATTCCATCAAGCAAAACACGGCAGACCTAGTGATCAGATTGCATATGCAATACATAGCACGTTTTAAATCAACTTTTTCTTTTAAAATAAGAATGTCACAAGAGAGAAAAAGAGAATGAGTGATGAAAAGGTCAAGAAACTACAACAATAGCATGTGTCTATGTATCTCATATGATAATGAGTTCCTTTTGCATGTAAAACTCTCACACAATACTTTGTTTAGAATACACCTGCTGCAACGTTCGCTGATGATGAAGGTTCATGGTCATCCTTCTTTCTCTTGAGATCAACGAAGGACAAAAGAATGCTGAAAAAGGAGGAACGTTAGACGCATTCGAATCGCATATTATCGTTTAATGTGCAGACACCGGCGGTAGTTCATTACGAAAGCGGCCTCGCAGATGACGGACTCCTCACTCTTGGTTTTCTTGTGCAAGCTCCCAGCAATTAACTCCACAAGGCCCTTCAGAACCTAGGGGGAAGAACTTTTGCAGGCAGAAGCAAGTGAATATTTCAGCACACCTCCTAAGTAATAATAATTGAAAAGCTCACGTAGTTAATCTAAAGTTGTAGTATTAGAGTTTGATTTGATTTATTTTGCCAAGAAACAGTAAAACTGTTTGACTTGTGGGACGTATGGGGGAAAGTACAAGGTGCGCATGCTTTCTTGATCCCCAGGATATCTTACCCACCTTTTAACCATAAATAATTTAATAGGGAATAAAAGTTGTAAAACAGCTTGGTTAGCAACAGTTGGAAACTAGACATTTTCACATTAATTTTCGGTTGAAACTGGAACTAAATTGTTCTGTAAAACACGAATTAATAGAAGCAAAAGCGTTAGCTTCATTGTATGTACATCTTAAATATTGTAAATTAAGTTTAAAAGTTTATGGGCGCAAAAGTAAAACTCAGTCACATTGTCCCCATGCGCCAGCGTGACGTCTGCCAACCGGGTTTGAGTTGTGTCGTTTCTCCACGTTTTCGGTGAAACTGTCGAGAGAGGACAAATCGCTTGCCGTACGCTAGAGTACTTTATTATTATAAGTAGTATTAATTTAATCTATAAATTTACTTTAAAATATATTTTTTAATAACCACTGTATGCGGAGGCATAACAATGAACACTGAACACGAACCAAACATTGTGGAAATTAACAACATTCTTGATGT